AGTTCTAATGCCATGACGAAAGTTTGAGCAAAACATGCTAACTGTTCTGCCTTTGTCTGCACAGACAAGCACAGAACGCTATTTAGAGTCCCAGCCTCAGAGGATTTATTGATTTATTTACTGTATATTGCTGCTGCCACACAGATCTAAAATAAACCTGCGATTTATTTCCCAGTTGTTTACCTCCACAGACATAACCCACTGTTTTTTTGTAACTCGTGTGTTTTTAACGTAAACTTGTGTGTGAATGAGAACTTAGTTCAGTACTCGCATGCTGTGACAGCCGCTTTCTGTGCGTGTGCTTCAGATGTGCGCGCTCAGAAAACCCTATATCTGAAGTTTAAACTCATATGGTTTAAAACGCATGATTTCAGCGCGATAAACATGATAATCAGAACCAAAACAGATGTTATTAGCAGGTCCATGCTGTAATGGCGCAGCTCTATTCTGGAAAATGGGGCGGGGAGCAGCAGTTCATTTGCATATAAAGAGACAGGCCCGAAAAACAGCATGTTTCTGCTTCCACTCAAAATAGGCATTTTGAGCTGAAACTTCACAGACACATTCTGGGGACATCAGAGGCTTATATTACATATTGTAAAAAAGGGGCATAATATGTCTCCTTTAAACAAATGAGTCTTAAGCAAATTATTTTTAGTGAATCAAAAAATAAATTAAAAACGGACAGCTTAACTAGTCAGGAACAAATTACTCTAATGAGTTGGTTATTTTTTTTAGTGAATTAAACATATACAACTTACAACTATTGCATTGGTTTTTTTGTCTTGTTTTTACAGTATAAATATCTAAACATTCTTGAATCAAGATGCATTCACTTGAAAAGCAAAATGACTTCAGATATTAAGTCATTATTATGAAAATATATCTTTAAGCAAAAACGAACAAACTTTTGATACATTTTTCAGAAAACAATACTTAATATCTTAAATCTTCTAAAGTAAATGCATCTTGATTCAAAAATGTTTAGATATTTATACTGGAAAACAAGAAAAAATGCTATGTAAGAAAATCTTTTTTTGCTGTCTTACTGAGAAATCAGTACAGTTACTGACTGTTTTTATTACAATGTGTAGTTAAAGATGCACATTACGAGATTTGTCAATAGTGTTTTACAAAAATAAATGAATTAAATGTTACTATGCTTTTTGTTGGTATAGTATTTGCTTAATATGCCAATTATTAGACTGCATTTATATGCTGATTTTAAAAAGACCATTACAAGCCATTAAAGGTTTTGTTTTATTATCTCATCATTTGGTAATGAAGTTGTTGTTGTTGTTTTTTTCTTCAAATATTAATTTCTTACAAGCACTAAAAGAACAGTCAATGGAACCATTAAGAAAATAATGAAACTAAAACCAGAATATTTAAATTAGATTTCCAACAACCTACTACTCAATTAGTTATTTTGGTTATTTTTCAACCACTCTTTAAAATATTGAAAATACTAAAAATAATAATAATGATAATAAAACAAATGAATAAAAAAAATCCCCTTTAAAACGATAAAAATATTAAAAGTTAAATTTAAAAATGTCTAGGTGAACTAGCCATCCTCTCTAGTTGCTAGTTAACCGTTCTGCACTTTCCTAACACACATACTTGTGACACTACACCGCAATAATTCTCTCATCACTTAAGCCCACTAAAAACCTTTTAACCTCGCAAATGGATGAAAATAAAAGCATGAACACACTTGCGCACATGGGATCATTGCTCTCAATTTCCTGTTGGGACTGAAATAATCAAAGTCCTTCAGAAGACCATTCCAAATCCCATCGTCAGTGTTTGGTGACCTCCTTATTTAATCAGACTCCACACACACATCCTACTTTAAAACATGGCCTGTACACACTCAGCGGCTCTTGCTCTGAGTATGTATAAAAATGGATGAATTTGTAAGTGAAAGGGAGAGAAAGAGATCGAGTAGAGGAACCTGTATTATTCATGCGAATCACTATTTTAGTTTGAAGGACATTCAAAGAATGAGAAGAGGAGCACTCGCTAGAACACATGCACTCAGTGTGCTGCACATCTAATTGTTCTATAGCAGTGTGATGAACTGCATTTCATCTGTTTATATTCGAGCGGTGGTGGCCACACACTTTCACAGATCTATGACATCAGGAGGATGCAGCCACAAAACACAGTTTGTATATTCATGCAATCATAATCCAAAGCGAGAAGCGTCCTGCATGCTGTGCTTGTCGACCTTTGATGATGAAAGTATCTGTCGGAGCATGTGTCCCACCGGCCTCTGTTTGATAATGAGCGAGTGTTGCAAATTACACTTTGACCCATGCTGTGACATTCAATACATATACCAACAAACATAAACCCATGAGCTATTTTATGTTTTATGAATGTTTTCATCATTTTCCCATCATGTTATGAAAACGTTATTTCCGATACGTCAATTTTTTTATGTTTTAAAGAGATTCGTTCATCATTTCCTCACTCTCATGTTATTGCAACCCTGTATACCTTGAGAAACACAAAATAAGTTATTCTGAAGAATGTTAGTAACCAAACAATTTTGGTTGCCATTGACTTCCACTGTATGGCCAATCATGCTCCATTTTATGTTCCACTGAAGAAAGAAAGTCATTTGGAATGACACGAGGGTGAGTAAATGATGACAGAATGTTAATTTTTGGGTGAACTATCCCTTTAAGGATGTCCTTGGTGGGTTATATGAACGTTATGAAAACGAACGATAACACAATGTTACGCACACACCACTTACACATCATGTAAAGCAATAGCATTAATCAGTTTTAGCTGACCAGGGGTGGACGGGTGGCGTTCCAGAAATCCATTTGAAAACAATCATTATTTTTGCAATTCCATTTGGTGATGTTAGTGGTGCAGAAATTACACACTTCAGCTTGAAGACACTAAGAGTGGAAATACAAAACACCCCCATCAAGGCAAACAGAGCAAACCAAAAAACCCAATCTGAAAAACACAGCTCCACCCAGTGTGGGAACTCTACGAAAATTCAGCACAACACCCACTGACTAAACAAGAGAACAGAGGGAACATCTTGACAGAAAACAGAAACTCTCCCATTTATACAAAGAAAACCACTAGTGCCTAAACATAGCTGTGCATCATAAATTAACACTATGATGATGATCTTTCACTGGCACTGGCATCAGCTAAAGTGTTTTAACTTGACCTGTTATCTTGTATTAAATGTCATACACTATCAAATATTAAAATATTTCAACTATATAAATAAGTCAACCAAGCAAGTAGGAAGTAAATTGCAAGTGGCCTCACATAATTCAGCAAAATGCAGCAAAATCAAATCTCAGTCTGTTCTTCTAAAAATGCACATTCTGTCATCGTTTACTCACTGTCGTGTTGTTCCAGAACGGTTTAACTTTCTATCTTCTGAGGAACACAAAAGGAGATGTTGTGCACAATATAAGGGACTGACAGCTTCAGTCACCGTTCGCTTTCAGTGCATCTTTTTTCCATAAAATGAAAGCAAACTGAGGCTGTCATCTATGGTGTTTCACCCAAGAAAGAACATCATAGTAAATGATGACAGAAGTTACTTTTTTGGTGCTGAACTCCCTTTAATGCATCCCTTTTTGCTAGATTTGGAACTTTTACTTCTGTTTGCTTATAACGACTCCTCTGATGGAACAATAGAAGAACTGATAATAATTCCAAGTTGAAGTTATGAGTTTGACCAAGCCTGGAATCAAACCTCTAATTTGATATCATAGGACAATAATATTACACTAAACAGAAAGCAGGATACGCACAATCCTCCCACGAAAACAGGTCTGATATTTTGGTGTTTTTTTCAAAGGCCCTGGGTGAACGTGCCTGTCCATTCTTCCTGTCTCCGTCTTTTTCTATTCTAAGCCAGACATGCATGGTGAATGTGCTGCAATCAGTGGAACACAGGGACTGATCTCTTCCTTCTAAACGGGTCACCCACATGAGGTAAACAATCACTTAACATCTAGAAGTGAGTTGACTCTAGTTATTATTAAATAATCTCTGTTGACATATGACGAACAGTCCGGAATGATTGGTTATATGGTATATATGATGATCCAGCATGTACTGCAATTTTCATGACATCAGGGTGACATGAATAGCAGATGTGTCTTTATTAGGCTACTCAATGAATCAAGGTCATATGATCTCCATACAGATCTGATGGTGTTTAGTTGCATGAATCGCTGTTGATGCATCCAAGGCTGTTTGTTTTGCTCTTTTTCTTCTAGATTCTCTCATGCTAACGCATCTCCTGTTTATACACAAACACACACACATGCATTTATACACAGAAAGAGACAGTCCGTAATTGGCTCTAAGTCGAAGGAGGCGTTGACAGTCTTCTCCTTACACTCTAAAAAATGCTGGGTTAAATACAACCCAGTGCTGGGTAAAATAGGGACAAACCCAGCAATTGGGCTGTTTTGGCCCAGCGGTTGGGTTAAATGTTTAACCCAACCTTCTGGGTAGTAACCCAACCGCTGGGTCAAAACAACCCAATTGCTGGGTTTGTCCCTATTTTACCCAGCACTGGGTTGTATTTAACCCAGCATTTTTTAGAGTGTATGTAAAGGCTGAAGGGATGCTGTGAATATAATAGGCCATCGATAGAACTTATTTGCGACCAGCTGCCTCCATTCTGCCTGTAATGAACAAATGAAATCTATCGTTTCGTTACGTCAAGAGCTGAAGGCAGAGACTTGTGCACTCAAAGACGCGCGCGTGCACCGACGCCCATTAAAACACCACGCACGACACACGGGGAAAAAGCATCCTGTGTCCAAAGCCCCCTCACACACACACACACACACACACGACATAATTCAGCTACAGGATATGGAGAGTTTGAGGAGTGTAAACTACAGCATCTCTCCGCCGCTGCCAATCAAACGTCGATCCGTTATTGATTTATTGGTCCTTAAGAAATAACGTCCCCTTGTTTAAAAGCATTGACTCACCGCATCTTATAAAGCACTGGAATAATAGTCAGCTCCGGATGTGTTCAACAGCATCGGGCTGTGTGAGATCTCAGAATGCTCTTTAATTCCCGTGACAGCGTGTCCGTGTGTGAATAAAGCACGCAGATGATGGTTTGAGCCTCCGTTCCCAGATGCGCCTTTATGAGGCTCGAAGCCTCCTGAAGAACCACGACGCGGAGCAGGATATATCGAGTATCCTTCCTCCCCCAAACCCAATGGATCTATGGTGGACGCGGGGGATCAGAGCCCTGTGTTGTATCCCGATCAGTGTTTTTCTGGAATGAGAGGAAGATGCGCAGAGTGGGTCCAGCGATGGCATCAGCGCCAGTCCATCGCTAGATCGTCCATGCGACCCGACAGCCAGGGAACGAGCGCCGAGAGAAAATGACAAGCCAATTTGGAAGCAAGTGATGCTTGATTCGAGGATGGAGGGTGGGAGGGAAAGAGAAAGAAAGGGAGGATAAGAGAGGGGCGGTGAATCTGGAGCCGGTGGTGACGGGAGGACTTGAGCATGCTCTGGTGGCCGAGAGCGCACACAGCAGTGAGGGTCGACCTTCCCATCACCTGCGGGGTCATCATCGAGATGGGTGCAGTGTGCCTTTTCTGTTACGAAATGTGTTTTCCTTTTGTCTTTACATTTATTTAAGCTTTTAAAAGCTTAAAACCACGTGTTTGCGTAATAAACTGTATGCTAAATTAATTTTACAAATTGTAATAAAGTTGCGATACAGCGACGTCAAAGTAATAATAATTAATAATAATAATTTATGCATTTAGCAGACGCTTTTATCCAAAGTGACTTACAGTGCATTCAGGCTATACATTTTTTACCAGTATGTGTGTTCCCTGGGAATCGAACCCACGACCTTTTGCGTAAGTAAACGTAACAGGGTTGACATTTAGCCAATACTAGCCTTGGACCCAGGACACTGCAACGTGTTTAAAAGAAAACAATAGATATAATAACAATAGCTCTACATGCATGTTCAGAATCATGGTAACAGGGTTGAGATTTAAGCATTTTAAGTTTGTTCACTGACTGTGTGCTGTATGTAACAAAACATAATATAATGTTCATGAAGAAATCACATTCAAAGGAGGATGATTAATGGATTTTTTTCATGATATTTTTGTTTGGAATTTTTTTTACGTCATTCTAATAAGGAGGAGTTATGATAGTAACAGTGCTGATGCTTAGTCTTTTAAATAAAATGATGTTATAAAATACTAAACATATAGCTTATTTCCATATTTATTATGTACACACAAGTCATCTACGTGGAGAATAAAAAATTAATTAAAAGTAATAATAATAATAATATATCTACCATTATGGATATTGAAATAAGATAATAATCTATATCATTATATATATATTGACACACACCTGTCTGTATTATATAATACTTTCTAAACATGTCCAATTGAATTTCCCATGGACTCCAATCAAAGTATCTCAAAGATGATCCAGAGAAATGGAAAGCACCTACATTTCAAGTGTCATAACAACATATTTATGTCAGTGTATTCATTCAATATACACTGAGGTTTTTCTTTTTAGTAAATTCACAATTTTTGTATGTCATGGACTATTGCAATGTGATTTTAGAATAAGACTGCCTAACAAAATGTGAAATAAAATGAAGGAGCTATTGAATGCTCTCTGAATTTACAGTGTTGAAGTATTCGTTTACAGATATGTTGGATATATCATGCTATATGCAAATTGTTTTCATGGAATCCATCTGTTTTACTGGCCTATTGCGATAAGGACATATTAAGGCATAATAGAAAATATCACATTGGCAAATTATAATTTGTGGACATGCACTAATTTACATGTCTCTCATGAGCAGCAGTAATAAGAGCTGATGTCTCTGTTATCATTTAACAGAGAGGCCTGAGCATCTATTACACTCACGAGCATCAGAGGCACATCGTGGACATGCGCGGTGAGGGACAGCCAGTTATCACCCTCGCGCAAACCCTGCGCTGTCTGAATAACGCGAGCTAGCTGTCTCTAATGCGACTTGCGACGTTTGAAAATGTTTCAAATTGAGCCCCGGCTTTTCATCATCCGATGAGACGAGACGATCAGTTTCTCATGAGCTGCGGGGGAACCCTGTTGATCTGAAGGTAAATGAGGAGTGAGGAAATCAGCTTTTATTGATCCTCACGGTAGCTACAGCGTGAGAACCTAACGAATGAAGACTGATAGAAAGAAACGGCATCACAGCTGTCATTTACACCTGAACCATAACATGCTGATTTTATTTAGCTATCGGATTTATTTTAGTAAACTGTTTTTGCTGTCCTTACTTGTTTTAAAATTGCAATTAGCCTATGCATCATGAGCTCCATTTGTTAGATTATGATGGCCAACACATATTAATAACCTAATGTTGTCATCTATTTTTAGGTTTAAGTAGCAATGCGTCTCTCAACTATCTTAAAGACGTTTTAAACCAGTTTGTGTGATATATTATTGTGAGTTGTAAATCTATAATACTTGATAAATAATGACAGCTACAGTTTTTCTATGAAGCATCCGTTTTTCATAGCATCTGTTGCTATGGCTACTCCTTCCAGCACCCTCCAACTTGTAAAATAACTTCTGTGGTTACTGAAACGTAAAGCTGTTTACCTCATTTGAGGCTCCTATACCCCACAAGTCGCACCCTGATCTTTTTAACGTTGAAACCCGAAAATAGGACACAACTTGCACACTTGACAATTTATGCACTCCTAATATGATTCCAAAATGGTTGGATATGACTTAGGCTAAATCTTGCGACCCCTTTGGTGGTGTGCTGAGGCCCCATGGTTCTATTTGCATATTTATTTTCGTATTTACACATCTATCAGCTTCGCCCGTTTAAAATAACCCTCCTGCTTTGTTTTCCCTTAGTTACTATTGTTGTCCGCAACACCGCCCACCGCCAGGCGCTTACATCTCTATCAGGTAGGCTGTAAGGACATCTGTCCCGGGTAATTACCGTCGTTCACAGTTTAATTCCGTTTACAGCTACTAAGCCTGACCCGTAAGCGCATTACCGGAGCAGCGCAGCGCAAACACGAGCGCTCGCGCAGTCCGTAGAGGTGCGAGTGTCCCACCCAGATCTCATCAGCATGAATAACAGATTACAGCAGGCGTTACCAGAGCCATCGGTGAGATGTGAAATGAACCATCAGTGCAATTCATAAAGCCTGTCATCGGTTACAGAGGCGTCACTCTCACTTCATGCCAAGCGTCAGCGTCGCTGTCACACGTAAGGACTGTCAGGTGTGCATGCCAGTTAGTGATTACTTGAGTAGGATGAGAAAGGGACAAATCTGTTTGTTGTTTTGTATCTTGAATATGTTCAAGAGTTTGATTGTCATTATGTCTGATGGCCCTGATATGAATTTACGTGCGTTGTTGCAGATGTCAGAAAGAGAGTGCTGGTAATTCAGTACCCAAAGAGTTGAAGATGATGGGTATGTATGAAGTCAATATGTCTTTCACAATTTATGATAATAACATATTTGTGAGTTAATGTGCCTATGGCATGCAGATTGTTGTATGCACTCTCATGTGGGATATGAGCTGATGTCACTGCATGTGCTCCTGTTATTAATATATTTATGTGTATGTGTGTGTATAGACACACAGCGTGCTTTGCTGGCGGTGGAGCGGCTGCAGGAGAGGCTGAAGAAGAAGGGAGAACTGCCTGCTGAGGAAAAACTCAGTCTGCTCAAGAGTGTCTTACAGAGTCCCCTGTTTCACCAGATACTCATCATGCAAGACACCGGACAACAGCATCAGCAACGACAGGTCAGAGACGAATAACATCATCATTATACTGCATGACCAAAAAATAAAAAATATGGCGTACACTGACACAAAAAGACATCAAAACAATAGTGTGCTTTTCCATTATATAGCCTAGTGTTTTATTTTTAATAAATGTATTCAATTAAACAGTGTAAATACATTCCTCATAACTATGTTAAATTAAAAAAATAAAAGAATATTTTTAAATCTAATTGGCTGATGGTACTTGTTTATGGCACATTTCTGTCATTACCATCATAACTGATCTTGTGAAGTGCTGATGGGAAGTGTATTGAACAAAAGTATGCTGATATCCAACTCCACAGCTATTGAAATTGAAATTTACATGCAGGTATATTTTATAAAGCAATTATACACCCAGGGAGCATCATTTCAGATATTCCCTGATGCGAACAGACCTCTTCCCTGACTACATCATCTCTGTTTCAGTGTCTATTATTAGATGAGATGATTACTACATGAGACAAACCTTTCTTAAAGGACTTTTTTGGATTCAGTACAAGTCCAGTTGAACTGACAACTGTTGTGGCATAATGTTGTCCCTCGTTTGCTTTAAAAAAAAGTAAAAGTCTAAGTTAAATGAAGGTGAATGAGGCCATCCATTAACATACATTTAATATCCTTGCTGTTTCAATAGTAAAGCCTCAAGGTATAAACAATACGCATGTTAATGTGATTTTTGCATGAAAAAAAATCACTGTGTAAAGTTATACCTAATTTTACAGCTTTGTCAGCTTTACAAATAATAGAGTCACAGAAGAGTGAGCTTAGAAGGTTTGTTGTGCATTATCAATAGTGATGCATGAAGCACAGCTAAATCTGAGGTCACTTCCGAGCTAAACAGCTTTATATTGATCACAGTGTGCAATTTGGATATTCAAAGTTTACCAAACATGAATTAGTTGCAAAATCTACAATTGCACAAAATTCCAAATAGCACAGATTATTATTTAAATGACTGCCAGCAGAATTTCACTGTACAAAGGTACAGTAAGTGTGTAACCTGCACCCTTAACATATTCTATAAATGCTTTTATAAAATTATAAAGATTCACTTTTCTGCTTTTACAACCTCCAAAAATTGGCCCCATTCATTTCCATTGTAAGTGCTCCATTGTAACCCTGATTTTTGCTTATCTTAAATAAAACATGAGACAAACCTTTCTTAAAGGACTTTTTTGGATTCAGTACAAGTCCAGTTGAACTGACAACTGTTGTGGCATAATATTGTCCCTCGTTTGCTTTAAAAAAAAGTAAAAGTCTAAGTTAAATGAAGGTGAATGAGGCCATCCATTAACATACATTTAATATGCTTGCTGTTTCAATAGTAAAGCCTCAAGGTATAAACAATTCGCATGTTAATGTGATTTTTGCATGAAAAAAAATCACTGTGTAAAGTTATACCTAATTTTACAGCTTTGTCAGCTTTACAAATAATAGAGTCACAGAAGAGTGAGCTTAGAAGGTTTGTTGTGCATTATCAATAGTGATGCATGAAGCACAGCTAAATCTGAGGTCACTTCCAAGCTAAACAGCTTTATATTGATCACAGTGTGCAATTTGGATATTCAAAGTTTACCAAACATGAATTAGTTGCAAAATCTACAATTGCACAAAATTCCAAATAGCACAGATTTTTATTTAAATGACTGCCAGCAGAATTTCACTGTACAAAGGTACAGTGATCAATTTAATGCATTCTTAATACTAAATAAAAGTATGAATTTCTTTGGAAAAACATACTTACCCTAAAACATTTGAATACTAGTGTATAAATGGGGTTCAAAGATCTAGGAAAATAATTTTTTGGTGTTTACCTTTACTGATCCTTGTGCACTTTAGTTTTAGCCTTTTTTAAAATCTCAAATCACTGTCAACGGTAATAATACTATATTGTGTAAAAACAAAATTCAGGAAACATGATCTTTTTTTTTTAAATAATAAACATTTACATTTTAAAAACAAGTGATGTAAAAATCCAATACAAATTTGGGGATTAGTAAAATTGATCATAAAAGAAATTGAAAAGTAACAAGATATTTATAATGTTACAAAACATTTCTATTTCAAATAAATTTGAACTTTCTTTTCAATATATATATATATATATATATATATATATATATTCAC